AAAGCAAGGTATTTTCTGGCTTGCAGCAGATACATGGAGTCTTGCCAGCAAGAATCTGCAGCTAAGAGTCACTTAGCTTGAGCCTTTGATTTCTAACAGTTCTGTGTTCAGGGAGAGAATCATTAATAAAGCAGGCTGCAGTATTTATTTTCATTGTTTTCTTTATTCAACAACTGTGTCTCTTTAGGTAGTTGCTGTAATTTTCATTCCAAAAAGGTTCGGTACAAAAACTGAGGTCCTTTTTTCTGGCTGATGCAACAAAACATATAATTGTTATTAAACCCTCATACAATGATCTGCTTTACATAAAACACCCCAACAGGACAGTTTTAAACTTTACACAGCAAATTAAGTCTTTCACTTTGCTCAGAAAATGCCTTTGGTTTCTCATATGAACATTGGGTTGTTAATGGCCTTTTCTGTCTCCTTTTCTTTTTAATTGTTTCTTTGCAGATCTGGGATTATTTTGAGAAGTTTAGATAAAATGCAGTAACAAATATGCTCAAGCTGTTAGAGTTGCTTTGAATTTTCATCAATATAGTGCTGTTGCAAAATGTAATGAAATCAACATTGCATGATTCACAAAGGAACATAAGGAATGACAAAAATCATGGTGATATGTATGCTGAGTGACGTTAGCACAAAGCAATACTCCAGTCACAAAGACTGTTTTCCTCATGGATGAAGGTGCTATTGATTTTTTTATATTCTCTTTATTTCCCCCAAATTAAATTATGTCATTCAGACTTCCCAGTTGTCCCAGTCAGTGTACGTGTTACTCTGGGTAAATTGGATATTTAATGAGACATTGATTTGTCTTATTGGAAACCTAAATGAGTTTAAGAAAGCATTAATTATTAATTATTTAATCATTTAAGCTGGTCTTGAAAGCAGGAGTGGAAGTCTCCACCTGTCTTGTCTTGAAAAATTCTTCTTTGTATGTCCCTGACCTGAGATTTTTGTTCATTAATAAAAGAAGTCTTCAGGCTGTGCCCAGCAGCATTGGAAGTTGAAACTATTACACAGCAACTTGAACCTTTGGAAAAGTTTTGATGTTGATCTCTTGTAATTGTAAAGACTATGACAGCTTTGACTTCTATAGGTACTATAGCTTTCAAAAATTCATACTGAAAAGTGTTGAAAGAATAAAAATAAGACTAAACATTCAAAGAAATTGTTGCATCTGTTTGATCTGTGTGCATGCTTCCAGCATCCCTTTGTTCAATTGAAGACACTACACTAGTTTGTTTAACTAGAGCAAGTTTAACAAATCAGTTGAATTAGTAGTCCAGGTATTTGTGATGGAATGACATTTGTTTGGAACTAAATCCATTGTGTTTGTAGGTGTTTGCACCTTGCTGATGTGAGCGAGGCCAGTAGATACACTGTGTTTAGTCTTAAACAAAAGGGTCCGTGCACCTTGTTTTACTGGTTGGGCCAAGCTGGTATCTGACATGATTTGCATGTAGACAAGTATCAGCTCACATCATTTTACTGGAACTGGCAAATACCTGACTTGTGTTTATGTTACACACCCATGCTGTAAGTATGCACTTTATGATATGAAGACAATCATCAGCCCCAGCACTGAAGCAAGTACCTGTTGCTCTGGTACCTCAGAAAGTTGTTAACTTAAGTTCTTTTAATTTCTTTTGGCTGGGAAGGCAGTCATAGTGTTGATATATTTGGATGTGAAACTTCATTAAAGGCAACACAGCTTCTTAAGTTAGTGTTTGTCCACTCACTTTCCAAGGAATGCTGCTTCCAGAAATATGATGGATGTGACCATATGTGACCATTGTCTGACTTAACGTCTTAGATGCTTATGCAACTCTTTCCATCTCAGCGCCCAGGAACCTTGTCATGGTATTTACTCTCACAGCAGGGTGAGGTTAACAGTGCTGTTACACCCAGTTTACAGGCAGAGACACTGGAAACACAGATAAACCAAAGCATTCAAATAACCTAACTTTAAACTGGTAGGTCCCAGGCTCAGAGACTTAGATAAACTTAACTGTCTGACTTTAGTCCTTTAGAGGATGTCATACAAAGAGCCCAGATACCTGTTGTAGAGCAGGGGTTGGAATCTGGATTATCCAGATCCTAAATTAATGTCCTATTGCTAATTATACTGTCTGGAGTCTATTATTGTCTTAGACATGATCTAGAGTTGCCTTATTGCATCATTGCTGCTAGTGCATGATGCCTGAGAACATATCCTCTAGCATTTAGTTGATATGGGGAGGGTTGATGCAGGCAGAGCCTGAATTATTTACTCTCTCAAGATGTGAAATCCTTGTAAGGAGATGAAAGCAGCTCCTGGCTCACCTTTTCAGACCCAGGGCAGTTCACAACTGACATGTCCAGTAAGCTGGCTGGACTTCAGTCAGAAACATTTCCGTAAGCTGCTTGTAAAGGTATTTCACTTTTTTTTCCTTCAAATCCCTGTTCTGTCCTCACTGGTAACTATAAAAGGTCACCTCTGTCACTGAAAAGCCTTGTGTATATTGCATATATCCAAAGGAAAAAGCTTGCAAGCAATTCCTTACAGGAAGGCAAAACTCAGTTACTCAGTTTTGACCTACAGTGCCAAATTCAGGCCAGTAAGACAAGCACCATAATTAGCTTCACTTAAGAGATCAGCCTAAAAATAGCAACTAACAGTATTTGTATTCGTTTAAATGGCTTTAAAGGCAGAACTGGAAAGAAGCTGCATCACTGGACCAGTGTTATTTACATTTATTTACTCTCCTAAAGAGAAAAGATTGTTTCAGATCAATAGCAGAAGATCTGGAACCTGGTGTGCAGAATGTTAGAGTGTCCTCCACATGTGAGTTGAAGAGAGAAGAATGTTGCAGATGCAGATTTCACATTGCACCATATAAATCATAGGGAACATTTTCCCAAATGCTTGATCCAGTTCCTCTTGTGAGCAACTTTAAAAGTCCATTCTGTTAATTTTTTTCAGCTGGCATCAGGCCCATCTCAGGGTATCTGATTCTGAGAGGGAATTTTCCTCATGATAATTTAATTTGCTAGCACTTGTCTCTGGTTCTTTCTTTTCTATTTTCTTCCTTTCCTTCTCTCTTTCTCTCCTTCTCTCTTTCTTACTCTCTTTCTCATTGCATAATCTATGTGTTTCCTTGGTTACCAGTCAGTAGTCTTGTTTGGAAGAATAATAACTTCCACTCTAGAAATAGTATCACATTGCAGACTATTAGATGAGGTTCACTCAAGGCAAGGCATTCACGGGGCTCTTCACTGGAGCTCCTAATTGAAATACTGGTTGGCATTACCAGCTGCATTCTGTTCACCAGGATGGGCTGAGTAACTGCTCAAGGGAAATAGGTGAAATGAGGCTACCAGAGAAGAGGGTGTTAAAAACTTTGAGCTTGAGTAGAACAATTCAGCCGTTCATTTTCTTTGAAGTTTGGTGTGGGAGGTGTGGGTGGTGGTAGTGGTTAAGAACAAACAGCTACCATATTAATTTGGCTGGACTTATAACAGAAATTACTTAGAATATTTGTTATTCCTTATTCTTGATGCTGTTACTCCCCTAATCACATATTAGGCTTTTTATTATTCATCTTGTATTTATATAATACAGAATGATAGCAGCAATTTTTCACTAAGGCATTTATATAGGAGCGTAATATAGAAGGAATTCATGAAGTGATGGGTCTAGAAATTGCTAGAAATTCATTGAAGAAGGGGAGGAATCTGGTGTAGTAAATATGAGCAAGGTATCTCTTCTATTGCTGTGTAAGCAGCAACCTGAAAAACTGCGTAGTCCTGGTGGGGGTGATGTCAGGAATTGATCAGGAAAGGAAAAGATCTCCAGAAAACTCCAAGATAAAATAATGAAGATGCTTCCCAGTGACAGTGAGAGGGGTGTAGCTGTATCAGCACTCAGTCCTTCGCAGGCCGGGAAAAGTAGGACAGGAATGGTAAAAGACAGAGGCATGGGTAGAGATATGTTTTCTCTGAGATGTTCTGATGAGCACCACTAGTTTGAGGACAATATTAGAAGGAGGCAAACTTTCTACTGCTAGAATGGGATGTGGGAGGGAGAATTGAAGAAACATAGGTTTGTTTGGGAACATTCTGGGTAATACTTTCCACTTCAAATGGTACAGTTTAGGTTAAATCTTGCTCTGGTTTACAGCCATGCATTTCTGTTGGAGCCCCAAGATGCCACAAGACACATCTGAAGAAAAAGTTAAATGTGTTTTACAGAAGCCAAATGTGGAGCAATTAAACTTTTATTATGACAACGAAATACACGAACCTTTCCTGTTCCTGTCCAAGCTCTGCTAAGGACAGTTGGATGGCTGATTACCACTACCTGGAATTGTGTCTCCCTGACTATATTGCATATACTTTGGTAATTTCTGCCTACTCATAGTTTCTCTAAGTTGAATGCAGAGAGGAATTTCTGCTAGAATTAATGGGAGTAGAAACAAATAATGTTGTCTTCTTTTCTCTTCAGGAGTGCTTTCCCTGTGTCTCTGCTGTAGCAAAAAGGAGATGTTTGTAGTTTATATTTAGTGTAGTCATTTCATATAGACTGCCTGGTTTATCTGGTTTCCCAGAACTTGATTTGGCATTGCTTTCCTTTAATCCTTTTTGCTTAGATTATATTTTTTTCTTGGATTAAATTAACTCCTGTGTTGGAGGAGCACACACTCATGTTCTTGGATAGAAAACTGTAGGCATTCTGAAATGCTCTGTGGCACTGAAACTGTGGGGACAGTTTTTCCTCGTCTTTCCATGGCAGCCTCAGTGGAAAGAGGTAGTAGTTGATGTAAATGGCTTAAACTACTGGTTTATGAAAAGACTATATTTAAATAAAATGGTGGTGACTTTTTAGATGAGCCTAAAATAGGACCAGATACATTTGTATTATGGTCAAAAGTGTCTGGGAACACAGACTTATGTACAGGAGAAAATATTCTTTTTGTTTGGGTTGAAATATTTTTTGTTTTTTTTTTGTTTTACAGTGGCCCATCCTCAGGAGCCTCACCACCCCTCTGAAAAGCCAGTCATCCACTGCCATAAATGTGGGGAGCCATGTAAAGGTGAAGTACTCCGTGTTCAGGCCAGACACTTCCACATCAAATGCTTCACCTGCAAAGGTAAGACCTGGATATTGATCTGTTAGAAATGAGTGTATTTATGCACTGGTACCTTGAACCAGTGATGAGAGGTTGCGCTTCCTGTGATCAGCCAGTTACAGATATTCTCTTTGCTCAGTATCTGAAGGATTTGAGGGTAAGGAGGGTCAAGAAAGGAGATGAAATGGCTGAATCACACATGTACCAGCAACAAGGTGATTGACACCGCACAGAACAAACTCAGTATGCAAACATCTGCAATTTAGTTGAATTACATGAGACATTTGGTTTTATGGGGTGGGGGAGGATGAATTTGCTACCACTAAAAATCACAGAATCACAGAATATCATGAGTTGGAAGGGACCCACAAAGATCATTGAGTCCAACTCTTAGCCCAGCACAGGACCATCCCCAACAGTCACACCATGTTCCTAAGAGCATTGTCCAAATGCTTCTTGAACTCTCTCAGGCTTGATGCTGTGACCACTGCCCTGGAGAGCCTGTTCCATGGCCCAACCACCCTCTGGGTGAAGAACCTCTTTCTGAGATCCAACCTAAACCTCCCCTGACACAACTTCAGGCCATTCCCTCAGGTCCTGTCACTGGTCATCACAGAGAAGAGATCAGTGCCTGCCCCTCCTCTTCCCCTCATGAGATCTCTCCTCAGTCTCCTCTTCTCCAGCTGAACAAACCAAGTGTCCTCAGCTGCTCCTCACACGGCTCCAAATCAAGGCCCTTCACCATATTCATTGCCCTCCTTTGCATGCTCTCTAAGAGCTTAATATCTTTCTTATATTGTGGTCACGAAAATTGCCACTCAAGGTGAGGCCTCCCCAGAGCAGAGCAGGGCAGGACAGTCATCTCCCTCAACCAGCTGGCGACGCTTTGCCTGATGCAACCCAGGATATGGTTGCCCTCCTGGCTGCCAGGGCACCGCTGACTCAAAGACTTGGAACAGCACGTTCTGTTCTCAATGCTTATGTGTTCATTCTTGTTCTTTTCTCCTGTACACTGGGTGCAAGTTAAACAATAGAAAATTGTACCTGAAAGAAATAAAAAACAAACTTAGCTCTTTTTAATTTTATTTGCAATTTTATTTACTTCATGCAGTTCTACGTAGACAATGAGTGTCATATATTTCCCAGACAGTGAATTAAGCTTGGTCTTCCATGCTTTTGAGTCTCTGGGTCTCCCTCTCCATTGGCTAGGATTTTCTAGGATGCACACACGCTTTCATGGAGGCCTCACCTGTTTTAGGGCCCAATTTGGTTGTGTGTGTAAGGAAGCTGCATGGCAGGCAGCTGTGTTATGGGAAGAGCTTTGCCTCCTGTCAGCCCTGGTTCTTCAAAAGGGTTTTAAGGCTTTGGGCTGTGGAGCTGCCTTGGGAATGGGGAGAGAACGACCCATTGTACAGAGCGAGGACCTGAAGGGCTCTCGGCAGCTCCAGTTCATACCACTGAGCCCTCTGTGACCACAACAAAGACTCACTGTGTTTTTTTACAAAAAAGAGGTTTAATGAAGCGTTAAATAATTATAGAACTATGCTTTGTGAATTCATGGCCTTTGAAGATGGGTGTTCTGGAGCAGGAGGCAATCCTGACTCCTTCATACAGCTTCTGTTTAATGAACAACAATGCAGCACTGGCTGAATTAAGTAACTGCAGTACGTAGGATGAAAGGTGAGAATAAGGAGAAATACACAGGCCCATGTGGAACAAGGGAAGCACCTGCTGATTCAGTTCCAGCATAGCACAGGAGAGATACAATCAAAGGGCTTCAGGCTCCAGGTGAATGTGGCCAAGCTGGTGGCAAACATGTGCTGGAGCAAATCAGAGTAACTGAGCAACTAAAACAGAGTAGAAGAATCTGTATTATGTAGTTTTTCACTTCTATTACACCTGTTACTTTTTCTGAAAGTCCATATCTAGTGCGTGTACTGCAGATCCAGACTTTGTAAAGTGCCTCAAGCCCAGTTCCTGAGTTTCAGTTATATTTTTCATGTTCTAAACGTGGATGGAATAGTACTGTAGTGTGATTGCTGAGTTCTTCTGTTTTCTGAATATATGGAATATAGCAGAAAATAGAAATAGTTGTTTTCCTATGTTACTAGAAGTCACTTGAGTTACTTGCATGTTGAAAAACGAATGGCTAGAACCTAAGAAATTATGTTTGTTACCTGTGTTTTTTAATTAAATAACTCAAAAAATGCTTAACTTTCTCCTTGATATTAACATCTTTCATCTGTGCCAAACTGGAATGGCATCAGCCTATCATGGAAGGTGGCAAGGAGCACTATCTGCACTATTTCTGAAATGCTTGGGGAAATGTGTATCTCTTTCTCTATTACAGTTGCTGTATTTCAAGCAGTACTTGATGCAATATAATCCTTAAGCAGTTCAAAGCCAGCAATTGTTTCTTTTCTTGTTTCTGCCTGTAGTGAGTAGTGGTCTCAATTTAGAGAAGACACTGGATTAGGATATTTTCAGCATCAGGCCAGCTGAGACCCTTTGAGTCATGAAGGAGAATGCTAATTCAGACCAGGCAGCAAACACTGTGCTTAGGACCTCCGATAAAGCAAGGGGGCAGATGGAACAGGGCTCTGGAATTGTTGTCCTGATGAATGCACCACATTAATCTTGCAATTTTTTTGGGTTTAATAGCTGCTTTTGTGCTTTGACTATTCTGTTGGTTGGGTTTACTAGGATACATTTTTTTCCCCTACCCTAGAGCAATATCTAAACTCATCTTGGCTTCTGTTTGTGAAAGTATTTCCAATCTAATGATGGTTTAGTATTCTGTAACATTATCTATCTCATGACTGTTTACATGAAGATCACTAGAGAAAGGAGAGATATAGAAATATCATGCAAATGAAACTATGATTTATATAATTAACTTTTTAAGGAAAATTTGAGTTTGTGAAAGGTAACTGGTTGCATATGTTCACTTATTGTTTAGTGGGAGGGGGAGACAGTGTGGCTTCTGCTTGTTGTAGTATCTGCATGTTCCAGTTTGAACTGAGAAGGTCAGTGCTGAATCTTAAGAGACTTTTCTCATGCTGCTCATTCAGTTTGTGCCTTATTATTTGGATTTGCCAGGGAGTGTTGTCTGTTTAGAGTTCAGTTGTCTTTCACTGAAAGAAAGGAAAAGGGTGTGTATGGGAGGTTGCTCCAAATCCTGTTTTGAATCTTACACCCGGGCTGCAGATCTTGTATACTGTTTGCCTCTCTTACTTAAGTGAATGCAGTTTTTGTTTAAACCATATAGTTATTTACTTACACTGCATGTTGTCTGACCATATGCTTCATACAAGTGGGACATAGCAGTTCAAGTAAGTGTTTTTTTTTCCTCTTCGTCTGATGAGTTTTTAATTTGACATGACTGCGACTCTACAGGAGGTGTATATACTCTATAAACCCTCCTCGGTTTATAGAGTAAGTTGTTAGCTAAAGAAAACAGCTGATACTGAGACAGAACTTATCAGCTGCATCTACAGGTGGCTTCGTTATCTTTCTCTTTTTTGTATACTAAACTTTGCTCTTGAGACTTCAACTCATACATCTGCAGCATGAAAGTCTTGAACAAGCTCATACTTGTCTAACTGTTTTCATACCTGCTGAAAGTGTTGAAACTTTTACCCAAAGACTTAGAAGATGTGGAAAAAATCCATTTCCTCATAAAGCTGTCACACTAGTTGTATAGTTGCAGAGTTTCAGTGTGATCCTGTTCTTTGCTCTGGTATGTATTTCCTTTTTTTTTATTGCCATCCATGCTCTCAACTTTGTGTTTACATCATGCTGTAATGCTGCTTCCCTAGGTTATGTCAGAGCCTCTTAGGCACTCCATGCCTGCTTGGCATGCATGTCAGTGGTGGCTGTTGCACTGAAGGAACACGGTGACTTCAGTCTCCGTGCTGCATCAGCCAGCCCAGGACATGCTCATGCGTCATGTAATGTGATCAGACAGTCGTCTTCCCCTGTAGTTTGGTGCTGCATCCATCTCTGGAATCTTTCTCAGAACAGAGTAATAGCTTCCTGACAAAGATGACAAGTGAAATCTCCATGGACAGACGTGTTCCCATGCCCCCATGATAAGATGCACCTCGCTGTGACTCTGCCTGTTGAGAACCACGTGTGTCCCGCTGGTGTGTCCTATCTGCCTGGCATGGCTGGCCAGTTCTATTTGTGGCTCCTGATAAAAGCTGGTAGAAAAACAAAGAGCTGAAAATGGTGTGGCTGTCCCTGGGAAGGTGAGCTCTGCCGGCCCCCCGATAGGCAAAGAATGTCAGGCAGGCAGCAGCTGACTCAGAGCTGGAGTTAACAAGGGAATGATGGACAGAGGAGGGATAAGAGAGATTTAGGAGTGCTCCTGGAGCACAATTCAGAGCAGTTGTCTTTTGCTGTTTTATAACAAAGTCACTTGCCTTGCTAAGGATTTACACTGGTTTGTGTTACAACTGCAAATTTAATTGGATTCTGTGTTACCTCCAGTTGTAATAAGTCTTAAGTTCTGTTTTAGTAGGAGTACACTACACTTACCATACCAACTTGTTAATGTCTACCAGGCAGTGGAAGCAGCAGGCTGAGAGGAGGGAAGGTTAAATGAGGAGGTTGGAGGGAGAACAGATTGAGCTGGAGACATCATTGGTTTTGTCTTTAATAAGCATTAAAATTAATAAGAATGAATTTGTAGCTTATGAAGAAGTAAAAAGTTTCTTCTAAGTATATAGAGGGATAACCTTTCTGGAAAAACTATGACTACTCACCACAATGCTGTTCCATATGTAACTGTGTGTGGGAACAGGCCCTAAATTACTCTGCATGAGCAGAGATTTTAATATCTCAATTTAAATTGTGATCTGATACAAATGATAATTTTCTACCATTGTCAGTTGATAACAGTTCATTTTACCTTGTTCCATGCACTAGGAGAGGAAACTTTGAGGGTAGAAAAATTGCTATAATAAGGCTTTATTATTAAGCCTGTGATTCATCTTCTGGGCTAGAGGGAAATGCTGTTT